TATTATTTTGCTGTCTAATGCCTAGATTGATTAGTCATTTTAATATGATTCTTTTTAACAAAATTTGATTTAAATAAATAATATATACTAAAAACTTTAAAAGTTGAAATTCTTAGTGAATAAATTTTTTTTATAAGCGAATTAAATTTACAATTTAAGTCTTAATACCAACACTTAAAAAATTAAATTTTTTAGATATATCAAATTGACTAAGGGTATTTAAAATTACTTGAAATAAAATTAGTATTTAAGTGTGTGAAAACTGCCTGAGAACATTCTAATAGTAATTAATAAAAAAAATAAATACTAAAGTAGTACGTTTTGTAAATTTAGAATAATGTGTAATTTAATTTAAAAAGTATATTATACTTTTACTTTTTTATTTATTTTGTAGTGATCCCATGTGCCATGCAATTATCAGCCCAACCCTAAAACCCACAAAATGAAGGGTCCGTTAGTTTTTGACGGAACAATGCGTCAACCGTCAGCCAAGGGCTCATTTGCCACTGTTGAAAAGTATAAGGGGTGGTATGCTTCTGAATTTGATTTAGGGGCTAATTTGCCACTGATAATCAAGTTTAAGGGGTATTTTGCATGATTCGCCTAGGAAGTGTGGGATTAATGTTATCATCAAGTCCGAAGCTAATACTTAGGTGCGACGTGACACAGTCTTTATTGTTGAGACATGAATGTGGTTGGTAATTAATAAAATATAAAACCTCCAATGAGGAAGTAATTTATGGTAGTCTCCATTCTTTTTTGAACAATGTTGTCATGAGGGGGTTTGAACCCGCCCATAAAAAAAAGGAGTGTATCTGAAGTTGACCAAAACTTACTTGGCACGAAGGTCAAGTGCGTATGGTAGTCTCCATTTAAAAAAAAAAAATTTTGAAAGTAACAATTTTATAGAGCTTTATTTTATTTAATTATAACATAATTTGAAATTAAAAAATTTGTCAAATTAAATATTGATAGTTGTATTTAGAATATGATTATATCGAATGGATATTTAATAGATAAATTTTTAAATTTAAATTAAATTGTTAGCTACTTAATTGTCTCAATTTAATTTTTATAAAAGGTATAATCAAATAATTTAATATAGTAATTAGATGATAATTAAAATTTTTTTCTTTTCCATAAGAAGTACTTATTGAGTATTTTTATTTTTATAAAAAAATTTAATTTTTATTTATTTATTATATAAAATTATTAAATTAAACTATATGTAAAAATCAAAATGATACAACTAAATACTATCAGAGATAATTATTGTTAAAAGATTTCTTAAATCAGTAAAAACTTGCTCAAGCTAATTTTTTAATATCATATTTTTTTCTTAAAGTTGTGAAAAATCAGGACACATTAA